TCACAATAGGCTTGAATGTGCCTAAAACGAAAGATAGAGAGCACAGACAGATTTCTGCACAGCGGCTTCAAACGTTGATAGCGTTCTGCTCACAGCTGCAAATGACTTGATTCAAATTGGATCTCGAGCGTCTTCACGTCGTCTACAATTAGCAATTTAGATTGCACGATTTGATAAAGAATTGACGACACAGCGTCGGTTTGAACGAACGGTACTATGGCAGCCACTATAGTCTTAGAACACAAGATAGGAAGAGTTACGAGTTGGGAATGACTCCCAGCTCCTACAAACCCCAAGAGCCGAGGTACAGTGATGTGGAACAGTGCCACACTGTCCCCAACCACGAAGGGTCTCGAAACTACCCTTCACTAGGGCCTACACCAAGTGAAATGTTACACTACACAAAGTAATGTAACTATCTTCAATATCTTGAGGTGTACCCTTTTGGCAAGCTTCGAAATCACTTGAGGCTTGACACCAAGGCTCGGGCTCTTCATCACAAACTCATCCTTGAGTTCTTCATGGGTCTGCTGCACACACCTGCGACACGCCGAACGTTCGACACAGGACAAAATAGAAACCGCGCACGACAAAATAGAAACCGCGCGCGAGACACAAACGACCGCGTAACACGCGTCTAGCGATAACTCGCTATTGACTCGACACACACACTCGACATCATGACTCAACATTCACACACAATTATAAGCATGAAATATATATATTATCCCATGCCCTCATACCATTCCATACACACACACATTCACGCACACGGACAACAAGCCGAGTGCAAACCGTAGGGTTGCACCAACAATGCATACATGGCAGCAAGGATAGCATCATAATCAAGAGCAAAGATATCCACACCCTGCCTAAGCAGCTCTGCCCAGCGGGGGAGCTCAGTCGCGTCGGGAAACTCTGCGCGAAAGGCGTCGTCAAGACGGGAGAAGCAGCGGTGCTGGGTGTGAAACTTCCTGCATGTCTGACCAGAGCGGTCACCTGTGCGAATGACATACGGGCAGCGACCACTACCCCCAGACGCCCCACGCTGAGCAAACCACTCACGAAGCTCCTGGGGCGAAGGGGTCTCACGCTGACGCTGCTGCTGCTGCCTCTGACCACCGCCAAAGCCTCCCCTCTGACTTGTACCACCCCGGCCGCCACCACTGCCGCCGCCCCCACTCCCACCGCTGCCACCACTGCCGCCGCCACCACTCCCACTGCCGCCACCACCGCCGCCACCTACGCCTCCACCCCCACCACCACTCCCTCCGCCACCACCGCCACCTCCACCGCCTCCACCGCCCCCACCACCGCCTCCACCGCTGCCACCCCCACCGCCCCTGCCTCCCCTGCCCCTGCCACTGCGGCGCCTCCCACTAGGGGCAGACGCAGCTCCTACCTCCTCAGCACGAATGTAGTCAACAGCTGCAGCAGAGGCGACTGAGGGGACAAGGGGGGAGGGCGAACACCCCTCAAATAAGGGAGTGCGAGGAGTGCCACGAGAAGCGCCTACAGCGACTATGCTAGTCTCAGCTGCTAGGAGGTGCTTCTCGAGCAGGTCGACAGTGAGGTCTGTGGGGTCAAGGGCGAGAAGGAGGTCCCTGACTGCGCTAAGAGAGTCAGGGAGGCGGGTGACTATGAAGTAGAGAGTGATGTACATGGGAGGAGGGTTCTTGGCGAGGAACTCGGCGGAAAGCGCAGCACGGTAGCGAGTGTCACTAGTGCGAAGGTGAGTGGCGAGGTCGGCGACTGCGGCAAAGGCGGACAGCTCGGGGAACAGGTAGGGGAGGAGAAGGCGGTCTAGAGCAGCAGTGGCCGGGGAGGAGTAACGAGCGACTACAGCGCCGTACAGGGCTCTAGCAGTCTTGTGCTGGCCAAAGTGAGCGCGTTCGGCTAACGGCAGGTGGTTGCGAACGGCTAGGCGAGCAGCAGCGTCACGGGTAAGCCACTGTGAGCGAGTCGCACTGTCAACTGTGGCGGCAGGGGCGAGAGAGACTCCAGACGTGAGGTCAAACAGCGAAACACCATCCCTAGAGTCGCTCAATAAGTACAGTTGTAAGTCGTCGAGCCACGCATCGAACTCTATCTGGCGGCCCTCCTGATCGAAGGTGAGGACGCTGAGAGTGGCCATTGTGGGCAGAGCAGTCGGGCGAGCTAGCAGCAGGGCAGCACGCAGGCAGGGCAAGGCAGGGCGGCGGCCAGCAGGGCGACGCACAGGCAGATCACGGCAGGGCGGCGCGGCGGCGAGCGGCGCTCAGGCAGGGCGGCGCGGCGGCTAGCGGCGCGCGGGCAGGGCAGAGCGGCGCGGCGGCGAGCGGCGCGCGGGCAGGGCGGCGGCGCGGCGGTGAGCAGTGCGCGGGCAGGGCGGCACGGCGGCGAGCGACGCGCGAGCAGGGCAGGGCGCGCGGCAGCGAGCAGCGCGCGGGCAAGGCAGGGCACGCGGCGGCGAGCGGCGCGCGGGCAGAGCGACGTGGCGCGGCGGCGAGCGGCGCGCGGGCAGGGCGGGCGCGCGGTGGCGAGCGGCGCGCGGGCAGGGCAGGGCGCGCGGCGGCGAGCGGCGCGCGGGCAGGGCGACACGGCGCGGCGGCGAGCGGCGCGCGGGTAGGGCAGGGCGCGCGGCGTCGAGTAGCGCGCGGGCAGGGCGGCGCGGCGACGAGTGGCGCGCGGGCAGATCAGGGCGCGCGGCGGCGAGCAGCGCGCGGGCAGGGCAGGGCAGGGCGTGCGCGGGCAGCGCGACGCAGGGCAGGGTAGGGCAGCGCGGCGCTAACAGGGCGGCGCGACGTGTGGGGTAGCGCGATTCGGTGGGCCCCTAAAAAAAATCGGTCCTAGGCTAGGACCTGCTCTGAAACCATGTCAGCAGAATGAACGAGAATGGAATGAACTAGCAGCATGCAGGAGTACAAGTAGCTAACCCTAATTGGGTTGTACCCCATATGGGCTACCCACTACAGCCTACACAACATGCAGCATATAAGTTTGACAGCCAGTAGCATAAAACCACCTGGACCTGGAGCGCGCCCTACAGTACTTCATATCCACACCTGACATCGGGCTCTCCTACTCCACGCTGACAACAACATCTTTCAACCTCACTGGCTACGTGGACGCAGATCACGCCGCTGACCCTGCCAATCGACAGTCACGAACCGGCTTTGTCTTCCGCCTGGAGCCAACTGGCCCAATCTCCTGGAACTCGCAGAAGCAGGAACTGGTTGCCCTGTCATTAGCCGAAGCAAAGTACATCGCCGCAACGGCTGCAGTTCGCGGAGGACTATACCTGCAAGAGCTACTGCAGGAGGCGAAAATCCCAACTTCGCCTACATTTCGTCTTCACTGCGACAACCAGAGCGCCATCAAGATCGCGAGCAAGCCAGGGTTCGTCAATTGAACGAAGCACATCGCGCTCCGTTACTTTTTCGTCAAGGACGAAATCGACCAAGGCAAGGTTAGCATTGCGTACTGCCCCACCACCGAGATGACAGCCGACTTCCTCACCAGGCGACTGCCACGTCAGCAGTTCCAGCACTGCTCCAATCTGACCAGAGTAGTCAAGCGAGTTAGCCCCCGACACATGCAGGAATGAAGGGGAGTGTTGCGATTTGAAACTTAATGAGAAGGCATCCCTGTACGGTGCACAAGCCGACTCTACCGAGTACGAAGTCGAGGAGTCAGAAGAGTCGAAGCGACACCAGCAATCGTCAGATCAAGACCGATGCAGGCAGAAACATTTGAAGTGAAAAGAGCGGGAACAGGTTGAAACGGGTTCCCGCGCCGCACAGTTAGAACTTCGTTGTAATAAGGGAATGTACCCCTTAGAGTACATGGCTAGTCTAGGTCGTTTCGTATTTCTTTGTATTTCTATATAAACTCGATGTATGCATGCTTTTATTATCTCAGTCATTTACATTCACTATAACACTTCCGCTGCAACAAACTACCTGCGATCAACCCTGAGCCGATCCCTCGCTAAGTCCCTTTTAGGATTGTAAAATATTTCTAACATTTTGTATTCTGGAAATTATCATGCCAATAGTACAGAACGTTACGCTGGAAATTCGAGTAATCAGGGTATTACACCCGGCTTATTTGGGCACTGTCTCTTTGCCTTTGCAAAATTGCATCCTGGTTGACTTGCTGTACAAAACTTTCTAGGTAATCTCAGCAGCGAGGATGCTTATTAGGGGAAGAAGTCGTCGTTAGGAAGATGCATGCCTGCTAACATGTGGGGAAATTATATGCGCCACTAGATTGACGCTCCCTGCCAATAACTTCCAGCGGGCCTCGCGGCGAGCGCGAGGAAGCATCTCAAGGTCAGTCAATGGAAATGCATTACAGATACCGCCAGTCCGGAATGACGGAGGAACATGCTCGCTTTTTCTTCGAATCTCTCGCAACTGAAACTGCTTCTTGACTGCCTTGCACTCGCTTTCCGATTGAGATCCTGTCGCACTAATCGCGAGAACGCACGCACCGCGAGACACTATGGCCGGGTGTGATCAACTGGTGGCACGCGTGCGCGTCGTGCTGCTGCTGCTCCTCTGCGAGGCCATCGCGAGAGGCGAGGCGGCGCTGCTCGTCTACAGCGGCGGCTACTTCTACACCCCCGGTAAGCCGCCAGTAAGCCGCTGTCGCCTCTCCGCGTGCTCGTTCGGGAGACCGCGGTCATCATGGTGGTCGCCTGCTTGCGCGCGCCCCGCAACACGCCCGTCGCCCGCATGCAATCACCGCCGTTTCTCAGAAATGCTTGCGATGCGGTCCGCTCCTCGCCTTCTATATCCTTTCGCCCGCGCGACTCAACCACAACACGCCGTGCTGGAACGTGCCTGCCATTCGCCCGTCCCGCAGTCTGAATGCGCCACCCAAAGTCTCTCGCTATACTCTCACATGCCCCTTCCATCTCACGGAGCCCTTCGCTAGGAGGCGCGGGTCTCGCTGTCGGGTTCGTTAGCGCGTGTCCGTACTAGCGTGTCCCGCACGTCTTTGCAGTTGCGGCGCGTCTAAGCAGTTCCCTGTGCGGCGTGCCGTGTGCAGACTACAAGTACCGCACGCCGTGGTGGGGCGCGCTGCTGCTGCTGCTGGGGCTCGTGTCGGTCGTCATCGCGCTCATCATGTGCTGCTGCAACTGCCTCGGCGCCTGCTGCGACTGCTGCTGCCCGCGGCGCAACACAGTGAAGGTCGTTCACGAGCGCTCGCCCGTGTAGCTCCGCGCCTGCCGCCTGCCTCGATCGCCCGCTCGCACAACGCGGCATTGGTGGTCGCCCGTGGGACAGTACCTTCTTCGAGTAGTTCTCCTGTATTGTATCTGGTGTTTATGACTGAATAGTGACTAGTATTCCTGTCAAATACAGTATATTGAATCTTGCAAGGTTATGAGCCGTTTGAAGGGAAAAGCGGTTTTATTTCATTGTGCATTTAGAAAAAATAATATGTTGACTTCATGTGGAAGCTGTATGTATGAAGCCCTTTGTACCTTCTTTCTTGATATACGGTACCATAGCAGAACACATACTGTGCAAACTTTCAACTTTAAACATGCAACCATGCTAGTTTAGATACGAATGTTACGGTACTTTGACATTTGGTCAGTGCACTCTTCATGGCACTTGCTTCTGTGTTTGGCTGCACGAAATAGAGAAATGTATTTTGGCATTCGGTCCTGTAATTACACTTGTATTGTATCCCCTTGCATACTTTCCCGTTATCCCCCATGTAGTCATCCTTCAACTTCTCCACTCTGTTGACTCTTCTTGCTCTGACTGCTCCTCCCACCACGTGTTGGTCTGCACACAAGAGAGGGCGGAGCATGGGAGGCACACACACGGGAGTCAGTATGCAGAGGGGGGTGGCAGTGAGAACAGCGGGAGCAGGGGAACCACTTGGGGTCACCTCCAATTGCACCCACCTGCCGGCCCCACTTGCACCCACCTGCCAGCCCCACTTGCACCCACTCGCTCTGCCCCACTCGCCCTGCACTCTAGTCACCTTGCCCCCCCTCCTCCCCCTCCCCACCCCATACCCCCTCTCCACACGTTGCTCCTTGCAACCCCCCCACCTTCCTCCCCTGCTCTCCCCCCCACCCCGCACCTTGCAGCCGCGGCGCAGGAACTCACCTTGTAGCCGCGGCGCAGGAACTGCATGGTGGAGCCCTCCTCACCTTGTAGCCGCGGCGCAGGAACTGCATGGTGGAGCCCTCCTCACCTTGTAGCCGCGGCGCAGGAACTGCATGGTGGAGCCCTCCTCACCTTGTAGCCGCGGCGCAGGAACTGCATGGTGGAGCCCTCCTCACCTTGTAGCCGCGGCGCAGGAACTGCATGGTGGAGCCCTCCTCCTCGCCCAGCCCCAGCGCGCGCTGCAGCTCCTCCTTCACCTGCCGCCCACCGGGGGGACAGGGGGCCCAGGGGGGCAGGGGGGCAGGGGGAACAGGGGGAGCAGGGGGGACAGAGGGGCAGGGGACAGAGGGGGCAGGGGGGGGGAGGAGGGTGGCAGCGGGCAGGGGCGGAAGAGCAGAGGGGACGAGGGTGAGGTGAGTGGCAAAGAGAGCTGAGATTAATAGCTGGTGGAAAGGTTGAGGGTGGAAAACAAACACAAAAACTGCCAAAATTTCCCCAGCGTCGAAATGCCAAATCCGTTTATTTTTCATTAAGGATTCTCACTTTTATTCGGCGACATTTTCCACCAACAATTTATGTTTCCGGACCGAAAGCATTTTTTTTTTAAAGGGCGAAATCTCGCCCAAAGCATGCAAATTTTGACGAAATTTTGCAAAGGCCAGCTTTCCAAGAGGCAGCACAGGATGGGCACAATCGCGGCACCATGGCCCATGGTGGTGCATGGCACTCACCAGCCATGCGCACTTGCACCTCTCATTCCACCACTCAAGGCATGGAGGGTGGAGGCATGGAGGCGTGCGGGTGGCGGCATGGGGGTGGAGGCATAGGGGGGAACGCGTGGGGGAGATGCATCGAGGGAGGCATGGGGGCAAGGCATGGGGGCGAGGCATGGGGGCGAGGCATGGGGGCAAGGCATGGGGGGGCAAGGCATGGGGGGAAGTTATGGGGGGAAGGCATGGGGCCATGTTGGGAATTATGTTCATGCTTTGACCTGTAGCGTATCTCGTGTATACGAAACCGTATATACAGAAATGCGTTATACGCTTGAAAACTACGTCTTACGTTTGGTCGGGCAGCCCAGAAAAATACATAAAAATCCTCCGCCGATTTCTTAATCTGCCAATTCAAATTTGAAGTTGGAAAGTCAAGTCCCCCCTCGATCTGCCCTCCCCCCTGCACTTCACCCTCACATCACCCCACACCCAACCCTTCCCCTCGATCTCCATGATCTCTCACCAAGAAGCAGTGTGTGGGCGTGAGCACAACAGAAAGGTGAGTCCTCTTCGAAGCCATTTGTCACACGCCTTACTCGCCTCCATGTTTCTACTTCAATGGGTTAGCTTCTAGCAGCAATGTCGACCCTAATGCCGCACGCACCAGCATCCGC